GAGAGAGAGAGAGAGAGAGAGAGAGAGAGAGAGAGAAAGAGACGGAGGGAAAGAAACGAACAAGCACAAAAACAGGTTGATGGGGGTTTTGATTTCTACCACCTATTGTGATCACAGATGAGTAGGTTCTGACTCAGCGAAATTGGATTGTCATTAAAGCTGAACTTGGCAAGTATGTCTGGAAAATCCGTTTGACTGGTTGCCTTTAATTCAAAACATCTAAATTTTGCACACGCACTCTTTTCTCATAGTGCTCCATGACCACATTGGCAGGTGCGGCCGGCGTTTGAATTGGGAAATGTGGAGTCTGTGCTGGATGTGAGGATCAAAATGGATGGCAGATTCACATCCGCTGCGGTGCGGAGTTTTGCCAGGTGTGCGCTGCAGTGCTGTGAAATGTCCCCTGACACGAGGCCGTCCATGAATGATGTGGTGCAAGAGCTCCGTCAAATCATCAAAATTGAAACGGAAGCTGATGAAGCCAGCGCATTCATTACTGTTTTGGATGACGATCGTCAACCTTCGACGCAACGAGCTACAAGCAGCTCATCGACAGAATTGTGCCGTAGGGGCAGTGCAGCCTATGCGGAGCAGTATGACGTTATTAACTACGACGTGCGCTGCGATTACATCGATCCGATCGCCGTGAACGACAAGGACCGCGCCTTGGAGTCTAATCGTCTGCCAAAGGTTGCAGCTGATGAAAAATGCAGACAACTGGATGTCCAGACGCCGTCTCATCAGGCTCCGAGTAGGACTTATGTTGTTAACGCCCTTGATCAGCGCGGTAAAGCTGCCGAGGGGGATTATGGCGAGGGCTTCTCCTGCCAGGATGTGTTTCAGGAGGTTGACCTGGAGGGCACTCCCTCCCCGAAGACACCGCGCATCGCTGACAAGTGCAAAGGGAAGCAGATCCACAGCGGAAGCGACACAACTATACTTCAAGGGAAGCAGCAACACATGCAGTGTGGGGGGAACTTGTCGCAATGCCTTCAGCCATGCTGTGGCGAGCATCGGAGCACTGGCATGCATCACGTTTCCATGGCTGCACACATCTGAGGTGAAGGGAATATCATTCAATATGATATATAATATATATGTATATATGGTCTGAAACAGCTCAGTTTTGGTACACCCGTGAACTGTTGAAACACAGGCCCGAGTTCAAACTCCATTGGAAGCAGATGAGCGTGAGTTACCTAGGGCGGGTAAGTTCGATGACGGTATCTCAAGGTCGTTGGCCGTTATTGATGAAAAAGGAAGAAAAAAAGAAAGGTACGTCTTATTCTACATCAACATTCATGACTTGTCTGCATTTATTTTATTTTTTTATTTTTTTTAAAAACAGGTGACTTGTCTGCATTTATGGCTCTAGAATATTGATGATTTCAAGATGCTCATAAGCCGAAGCCTTCTGGGATTGCCTACCTTCTTCCCCGGAATACAACATACGGTCATCATAGCTGTATTTGAGGCATCTTTCAGTCTCGATACAGCTATAATGACCGTACTTTGTATTCGGGGGAAGAAGGTAGCAAGCCAGAGGTTGTGTGTTCGATTCTTAGATTGGACATGCCACGAAAAAGGTAGCAAGCCAGAGGTTGTGTGTTCGATTCTTAGATTGGACATGCCACGAAAGCAACCGCCGTAGAAATTGTACGATGGTACAGTGACTGCGTAGTGTGTGGGATGAGTGTGGGATGAGCGTGGTTGGGTCGCGGAGAAATCCGTGGTGGGGTGGGGGGTGGGGGGAAGTACTCGTCTTGGGGCTTCACTTTCACCCCAGCCCACCTACCGTCTTCACCCCAATAGAATGCCCAGTCGATATAGCTGCATTTGGCACAACTTGCAGTCCAGATGCAGCGATAATGAGCAGGCTTTTTATTCGGGTGAAGACCGTAGCCCTTTTGGTTAGGTGGTTGCCCAGCAAGCCAGAGGTTGTGTGTTCGATGGACATGCAAAGCCTTCAGGTATCTTGCCAACCAGTGATGATGGCTATTGCAGAGATTTCCAGTGTTCTCACCAGAGATGTCTGCGGACATTCTGCCATGATGGTCAGGAGTCAGGACACTCGCGGAATAAATCTGTTGCAAAGGACTGGCCAGTGAACGACTGAGGGGGTCAGTGTCTTCCCGCCGGTCTCCCAACCATTAACACAGAGAGAGAAACGTTTTGAGTGTGTTTCTAATCTGTTTTTCTGACTTGCCAGTGGAACACAAACCGGACAGACGCTCCCCAGAATGGACACGGAGCCCGATCCATAAGGAGTATTAAATTAAGGATCTGGTTTTTTTTTTTTTTTTTTCCTTCCCTAATAAAAACCACGCTGCCACGCTAGGAGGGGTGATATGAGCACCCCCTCCTAGCGGGCCGCCTTTTTGCTCCAATCTAAGGCTCTGATTTGGTGGCGGAAAAAAAAAAAAAAAAAAAAAAAAAAAAAAAAAAAAAAAAAAAAGTGAACTACTGATGAGGGTGAGGGAGAGGAGGACAACAAACAACGGGTTGTCTCACAGACTATTTCACCGAGCTCCCGCTGAAACATCATCGATTCATCATCATATACAAAACGTGAAAAGAAGCTAGCACGCGAATGAGAAGTGTGAGTAGCCTTCCTTTCGCAGTGTCTTGCCTGCGATAACAAAGCAGTCTGTCACAGATCCCCGTTTTTTCAGCACTTCTGTCCTTTTTACTCCGAGAAACACCTACAATTCACCAGGTGTCTTCTTTCTGGCGCTACATTATTGTAGGTTATGCACATAAAGCTCGATGCATGTACGTATTGTGGAAAGCAGATCTAGACTAGCACAGCCACACACATGCACTGTGTGTGATGGATTTTTTTTCCCCCGCTTGAGGGTGGGTAAGGATCACTTTTCATGATTTTGTATACATGGGACGCTGGACCCGGTTTCCAGCAGGTGTTGCTCCCCACCAATAGATGGAGCAGCCCGGGAGATAAGCCCTCGATTCTGATGGTTCTCTTACCACCATCGGGATGGAGAGCTTACACTGTTCTGGTCCGATTCCAGTCAGGTGGTCTCCACTTAGGTGATGCTGGGGCGTTGTGTTTGGGCGAAGAAGACAGCTGCGAACCCGGGCTGTCGAGCCTAATGAGAGTCAGCGCCACACTGGTTTGTGGCAGTTCAGGAGGGGAAAATACTGGTCACCTGTTTTGGGAAACAGGAGGCGATGCCAAGCAGTGGAGACCACCTGTGCAGGCCGCTGAAAAGTTGCGGCAATTCATGCTCCTCCTGTCTTTGTTCATCCGCTCAGGGAGTTGCAATGAAGGGAGCGTTCTCGAGGACTCTTTCTCATTCTAGATCCTTACTTGACCGAACTGAAAAGACAGTACTGCCGTCTTCACCCGAATAGAACGCCCGGTCATTATCGCTGCATCTGGACTGAAAGCTGGGCCAAATGCAGCTATAATGACCGGGAGTTCTATTCGGCTGAAGACGGTAGCACTGTTACTGGTACCGGTGCTCAGTTGCTTGTAGCAACGTTGGAGCTAGCCTAGCCCTCGGAGACAAGAGTCATCCACATAGAGGGGTCTATTTGAGAAGGCAAACATCCTTCAGGATTGCTAACATAGAAAGTAAGGGATGTGAAGGAGAGAGACGGGAGAAGGGAAGGGAAGGGAAGATTAATATAAGAGACCGGAAGAGGAGTTGTACTTATGGACGACAGGGTCGCACAGAATGACGTCACTTCTCGCATTGAAGTTGCTCCTCACAATGCTCTCTCTCACATCTAGCCACGATATACGAGAATGTACCAACTGGCAGTACCGACCTACCTGCTACTCGAGTGTTTTTCTGCTGCTGTGGCGGCCCTCCTGCCCCACCACTTGAGTGTTTTCCCCCGCTGCAACCCTCAATGTCACGGCCACAGGTACGTACCGGCCCTACGGGCCTCCCAAACAAGCAAGCACCCTTTCGGGTCACCCACACACTCAGGCCAACAAGCACTCGGACAGGTACCCAGGTCACCAAACCCACAGACACACACCCACAAGACTTAGAAAGCTCAGCCGAATGCGGGAATCTCAGCAAGGCATCCATTCCATGGGCAGAACTCAGAAATCAGCAGTGTTCTCAGTCTGTGTTTTGGTGGGCCTTACAGAAGTATCCACTGCCACAACATGGAAATATACACTGCCAATGACCGAAAATGTGGCAGTGTATATTTCCATGTTCTAGCGACAGATTCATTCCCATTTTGCTCATCCTATGGATGGAGGGAGAGAGAGAGAGAGAGAGAGAGAGAGAGAGAGAGAGAGAGAGAGAGAGAGAAGAGAACAGGTAAGTCTCCAACCTCGCGGCCGACCTCATGGTACTTCCATTGATAGGTTGCGCAAAATCGAATGAATCTACCGCTGGAACATGGAATTATACACTGCCACATGTGTGTGTGTGTGTATTCGGACAACAAAGTGCCGTGGTGGAAAAACTTCCGGGTGGTGCACAGCCGTTTTTTATTTTCCTCTGCGCGTATGAAGTTTCCAGAATGAAGGTGAGGCGCACGACCATACTTGTCCCCGCGGCCATAAAAACTTTGGGGTGGTGCACAGCCGTTTTTTATTTTCCTCTGCGCGTATGAAGTTTCCAGAATGAAAGTGAGGCGCACGACCATACTTGTCCCCGCGGCCATACTCTTCCAGCGCGCCGCACCGCTGTTCGAACTCACGTGAACAGGAAAAACAAAAACTACATTCTGTGCAAGCTCCCCTTGGGCCCGCACGCACCACCCTTTGGGACCAAAAAAAAAAAACTGCATTCCACGCAAGTTCCTCGTGGGCCCGCACCTTGTCCGCCGCCAATTTCCCCCGAGTTCAAAGCGGCGTCACACGAGACCTGCTATTCCCTTTATTATAGAGTATAGAAAAAGAAAAACAAAGGAAGAGAAGTTATGAGGGAGGGAGGGTAGCAAATGCTTATGGAGGGGGCAACAGCTTGGTTCTCCTGTTACTGTCTTCGCCCAAATAGAATGTAGGTTCATAATAACTGTATCAAGACTGAAAGTTGCCCCAAATACAGCTAAGATGACGTTGTGTTCTATTCAGGGGAAGAAGATAGTTGGAGAAGGAGAGGAAGTCCTGGATTATATGAAAAGTGGTACTGTGTTGTACAGAAAGGGATTGTGCGCCTCCCTATCAGGCCATTATCCAGTGCTGATGGACATTATCTCAGGAGAACGGATAGAGCGGATGAAAGGCATGTTTCGGTTAAATACCAGCAACCTTAAAGATAAGGGTATCAAGCATACTTGCAAGCAGACAGACCGGACGAGCGTCCGGTCCGGTCCGCTTTGCCGCGTGCGGCACCCTCCCCCCGGACCGGACGGACCCGGACCGGACTGGATGGGGCCGGTTTTTTTTTTTGTTTTTTGGGAGTGGGGCGTAACTGGTCGTCGGGCGCACATTCGTGCGCCGCGCGGGTCCCGTCCGGCGGTCTGCCGCACGTGCGGAACCGCCCGGACGGCGTCCGCTTGCAAGTATGGTATCAAGGCATGGGTTACAAGACACATGGAAGATTGGAAGAAGGCCAAACCCTTGTTTCACTCAGAAGAGGATTGGGCAGATGCTGGCTTATCCATTATCTCTAATACGATGAACGTGTTTTCTGAGGTTAAAGCAAGTAACAGGAACTTAAAAGGGAAAAGACTGAAGCTCGCCATAGCGGATGCTGAGAAACAACTAGGAAAGGATGCGTATGCTGACCATTTCTGGTCTTGCAGAAGGAGAGTATTGCTGATGGAATTAGAGGCCTTAAGAGTCTCAATGACAAGCCAACTGGCTTGAGTGGTTGAATCTGAGGGGGATTATAGGCTTCGACAGGATGACTAAACTTACCTTTCGTACGTTGATCTTGCAGCAGACCAAACCTCTTATGAGACAGCTGTCGCATCCGTTCATGAACGATGCCCCCCTAGCGGATTCGACACAACAGATGTGTGTCTATGCTCGGGAGCACTTCAGGGACATTTTTTCCTCGAGATTGTCGGACACAGGCTTTGACACAGACTTGTCCCTCACCTCTAGGTACTGGGATAGGACGAATATTATCATCTCACGGCAGGGCAGATTGGACCTACATCGGCCCTTCACGGTAGAGGAATTGGGGGAGGCAGTCAGAGAACTAAAGAAAGGTAAGTGCCCGGGCACAGATGGACTCCCTGTCGAATTCTACCTGGAAACATGGGACTCAATGGGACCCTTCCTCTTTTTTTTTTCTTTTTTTTTTTTTGATAAACGCCCCCGCCACTGTTAGTGCTGCTGATAAGGGCAGACACCACTAACACCTAGGGAGAGGCTCAATCTATTGGTGGGGAGCATCACCTGCTGGAAAACGGGACCCTTCCTCACTGACAATGGCAATAGACTATTGACAGGCGGACACCTCCCAAAAGGATTAACGAAGGGAGTAATTTCACTGATGTATAAAAAAGGAGATAAGAGGGAGGTGAAGAATGACCGCCCGATCTCTCTACTTAACGTTGCTGACAAAGTACTCGCCAAAACAATAGCCCGGCGCCTGGCCAGATACCTACCAGAGATCCTAGGCCCAGAACAGGGAGCCGTCGTCAAAGGGCGGTCAATCCATGACAATATTATTATAGCGACAGTTCAGGCATTAGAGATCATAGGAGAGGAGGACAGGAATGTGGCAACCCTCTTGCTAGACATGGCCAAAGCGTATGATAAGGTTGGGTGGGCTTTTGTGGCCACCACCCTGAGGGTAATGAATTTTGGAACCAATTTCGTGAAAATTGTGAAGTCCTTGTATTCGAAAGGGGTTGCAATGGTAAACGTGAACGGATGTCTCTCTGACGAGATCACACTGTCACGCTCACTACGACAGGGGTGCCCTTTGGCCCCCTTGATGTTCGTAGTGCAGTTGGAAGTCCTACTGGATAACATCAGGCTTAATAATAATATCATAGGATTACAGCTCTCCCCGACCTGTGAGTGGGAAAGGGAACACGCACTTGCAGATGATCTATTAGATCTCTGAATGAACTAAAGAGCATAATAGAAATTTATAGCTAATTAATATTAAAAAAAAAAAAAAAAGGGATTGTGCGTAGGCAGACACGTATCCCCATTGGTGGTCGAAAGACTCCAAGTTGGCATACTCACAGTAGCACTTTGTTCCTTGTTTCTGAACTCAATTAGATCTCTGAATGAACTAAAGAACGTAATAGAAAATTATAGCTAATTAATCAAAATTAAAAAAAATGGGGATTGTGCGTAGGCAGACAGGTATCCCCATTGGTGGTCGAAAGACTCCGAGTTGGCATACTCACAGTAGCACTTTGTTCCTTGTTTCTGGACGGAATTGCGGCCAGATGAATACAGGTCCGGCTGCAAATGTGGGCGGATACATTTTAAGATAGTCCTAGTGTGAGTACGCCCTGGGTTGGCATCCCAAGCAGGTCCCAAACAAATCTTTGGCTAATGCTTTCACCCGAATAGGACGGCCTGTTTTTTTTTTTTTTCTTTTTTTTTTTTTTTTTTTTTTTTTTTTTTTTTTTTTTTTTTTTTTTTTTTTTTTTTTTTTTTTTTTTTATCCGTATCTGTCGGTAGTGTCGAAGGCTTTATCTGTCCCGAGGTATGTACAGTATCTTTTAATAGACAAATGTATATACACATATATACCTGTCTCTTATACACATCTAGATGTGTATAAGAGACAGCCCCATACATTGATATGTTGATATATGGAAATGTAAAATTGTGACAATGAGAAACATATAGAAAAATATAGAAAAGCCCCGAAGCCCCGTGGCCAATCCCGACAGGCAGAGGCATTGATTACTCCCCCATACCGGAGGAGGATTGACCTACTGCACGAAAAACCGTAGGGTTTCGAAGCACACTTCAAAAAGCCACGCCATGTGGCAATCGATGGGCAACTAATACAAGCGATAGGAATGCATGCCATAGCTAACAGTACCTGATGCAAAACGTTCTTTCAAAATCCTACCCGTCGCCACTCGTTAACCGAAACCTAAATGAGGCAGCAGCAAAAGAGGGGGGGGAAAGGCAGGCAGCACAGAGGTAAGGTAATCAAGCAGCATTCCTGAGTCAAATGAAAATGAAGAGCAAGCCAAGGAAGCGAAACCCTAGCCCGATGAATGATATTGCTGGCCGGGCAATAGCAAACATCCCCAACAAGCCAACCCCTAGCCGCCACCATAGCCCACAGACGAACCCCGCAGGAAGAGTGGGGAAGAAGAAAACCCCATCCCAGATAACCGAAAGAAACGCAGCCACCCTGCTGCAAATGCCCAACCTGCTCCTCCCGGGAGACGCATCATCATCAAGAGCATCTTCATTATCATCATCCGCAGCATCGTCATCATCATGAGTAGCATTAGTATCATCGTCATCATCATAAGCATCATCTACAGCAGCAGCATCGGCCTCACCGGCATCATCAAGCGCGCTGTCGTCAGGCCCAGCCACATCATCGATAAGGCCACCATTGTCATCGTCATCGGCAATAGCAGCGTCGTCATGAACATCATCAATTTCAGCTTCATCATCACCAGCAGCATCAGCCACAGCATCATCATCATCATCATCATCAGTAGCATGAGTATCATCATCATCAGCGTCATCGTTATCAACAGCAGCATCACCAGGAGCATCAGCAGCAGCATGAAGATCATCATCATCGGCACCAGCCACGTCAGCAATAAGGCCGCCAATATCTTCGTCATCCACAGCAGCAGCAGCAGCAGCTGCAGTAGTATCATCATGAGTGCTGACGTAAACGGAAAGTCGTTGTCAGCACTAGCGAGGAGTACTCCATTGCTCCCGTGACCAAAGACGCCGTCGGTAGCCTCATCGCCAAAGTTGCCGTCAACGTCAGCTAAAGAAGTATCAATATTACAGAAAAAGGTAGCACCCCCGTCCGTAATTAGTATAGTATTCAATGGTGAGAGCACCGCGATGACCTCCGACACCACGCACGCATCCTCACGATCAAGGATGTCCACCAACCGAGCAGTCAGACGATCAGACAGATCACGACCTTCCTGAAAAAGGGTATAACAATCGGACAAAACGCCATCTGCCTTCCGCCGGTCGATGCAGACGTCTAGCCGAGGATCCGGCCCCTCCTCGAGCTCCCAGATGATTGCCAACATGTCTTCACTGGTGTCTTTCATCCATCCGGCCAAAGTAAGCGCTCCCCCTCCGCCCCCTTCGACCAGGGGCTCCATGCCCAATCGCGAAGACAAATTCCGCACAATCGCCTGTAGCCATCTGCGTCCTTACTCCAAGGTAATCGGCCATGCTTGAGCACCAAGATGCAGCTCCCTCGCCGAAAGCTTCGCCATAGCAGGCCTAGCTCACCCAAAGAACCGCGCCACTGTGGAAAAAATCCAATCTATCACGGCTGGCGCTGCCCCTGTTCACACGTCACAGGGCATCAACGGCACCGAACAACAGGTGACACATGGCAGCCAACCACCACAGCCACCAGTCGGGCGCGTGAACAGGCCCAACAGCCTGGAGGAACTCCCCCCAGCATGCTGGTCAAGCTGGGTGCGACCGGACCTTGCCGGTCGGCCGGCGTTGGGGCGCTAGCGCTAGCGCCGGTTCTTTACTGTGGCCTGTTATTATGGCTTATTTGGGTCAACTTTCAGTCCATAGACTGACGAATAGGACGGCCTTTTGTTATGGCTTTATTTGGGTCAACTGTCAGTCCATAGACTGATGAATAGGACGGCCTTTTATTATGGCTTTATTTGGGTCAACTTTCAGTCCATGGACTGACGAATAAGACGGCCTTTTATTATGGCTTTATTTGGGTCAACTTTCAGTCCATAGACTGACTCCATACAGTGATAATGACAGGGTGCCCAATTCGGGGGAAGGCGGTAGTGCATCTAAGGGCGAGATTCCACAGTCGGGCGGCAACCTCTTTTTTTTGTTCTTTTGTTCTTTTTTTTCCAAAGAGGCGGCAACTTCCAGAAAGGCGCTTTGAAAGATTTTCCAGATCCCAAACCTGCAGAATAAAAAATAAAAAAAAAAGAGAGAGAGAAAAGCCCTCTGTTTTCACTTTGCTTGCCTCGAACCTGCTTCGTTCCGGCGGGGCATTGGGCCTCGTTCCAGTACTCTGGACATGCACAAAAGACAAAAATCATGGCGGTGCATCTTTCCATGTTCTAGCAGAACATTCACTCTCGTTTTGCACATTTCGAGAGTAGTGGAGCGAGGCCCATTGTCTTCTGAAATTGGTGGGCAGCTGGTGGGTGTAAGGGGGGGGGCTGGAAACTCTTTGGAAACTCGAGCGAACTTCCCTCCCCACCGCAGTGCTCGAGCAGCAGCCCTTATCAGACTTTCTGCTCCGGACCCTGCGTTTCCTCTTCAGGAAACGAGGGCGAGGGTACGGGAAGCGTGCTTCCTTCTCTGAGAACTGGCAGCTGTTGGATCCCGTTGTTTCGAGACTTGAGCGTTTCCAGTCGGAAACGAGCGCAAGAAATGGCGCAGGCAGTTCCGCTCGCCTGTTGAATTCCAGGTTCTGTTGAGATAAAGACAGACGTAAACCATCAACCTTGCGCCGTCAAGTAGCCGTCTCTCATTCCCAAGTTGGGTCAGGAATTGCTGTTCACTTTAAACCGCTAGTACACGGCCCCAGCCTCGCTGAAAAGAAAGAATTGCTTTCCACTTTGAACCGCTAGTACACAGCCCCAGCCTCGCTGAAAAGAAACTCGTCGCCCACGAGATGCCATCCGAAAAAGACAGCCCAGGCGCACCATCAATTAAAAAAAAAGAGAGAGAGAAAACAGCTCTGGAGTCTTACTTCTGAGCAAAAACATCAGTCCATTGGCTGAGTTTAGAAAGGCAAAAAGAACATGGGAAAGGCAAAAAAGACATGGGGCTATAACGCCCTCCCGGAGGCTGCAATCTCACACGTTCTGTTGTTCTGTTTTCGGCTGCTTCTCCAGTGGATTAAAAAACTGATCTTTGCCACGGACTGTCCCTGGCAACCTCTAGCCTTGGAGCACTTAGGCCCCCCCGAAGTACACCCCCTCATATGGGTGGAAGATCGCTACTGGACAATCCCTCGGAAATGGCCTGATAGAGGGGGGAGCCAGGATGGGGCAATGGACCAGTTCTGGCCCTCGCTGTTGAAAAGTTGGCGGCGGCTTCCCCCACCGGAAAGACATTCCCCAGACCGGTGGGAAGAGGTATTCCGACAACCCCTGTTCGGAAACCGATGGCTTACAATCGGCAGGGCCAGGTGATGCACAGCTCGACACCACCTTGGAAAAACTGGGTGAAACGTGGAGTGACCAGAATAGGGGATATTTGGAACATAGAAAGAAAGGATTGGAAAACAGCAGAAGATCTGCACCTGAAGCTACAACATTGTCACCACGTCTGACAAAACTTGGACAAACTTATAGAGAGGATCCCGCTCTCATGGTACAGGAGGTTACGAAAGAGACCCACATTGAGGGAGGGAGACTGGGTAGGAATTAGGGGAGACCCGGAACACCTGGGGATGGTCCATCAGACGCGTCCCCAGGAGGCCTTGGTGGAAAGATGCACTATAACCAAAACTCAGGCATTACAAGGCAGTCGGCCCCCCCTCATATGGATGGATAAGACAAAGGTCCTTCGGGTACGAGTTCTGGGGGAGGGAGAGGAAGCCCGGGCCTTCCAGCCAACCTTAGGGGTACAGGAGTTACCCCTGGATCCCGAGGAATGGACATGGAAACCAGGGGGAAGGAGAACAGGCCCCACCAAGAAGATTAGCCTCTATAAGCTAACGGTCAAATCTACCTATAGGATGCTCAGACCAAAGAGGCACTTCAGGGATGTGATAAATGATAGATGGGTAAAGCACCTCAATGTCGACCGATCCCTCCTCTCACCAATCCCCTGGTTTCAAGAAGGAAAATCCAAACCGGCAAAAATCACGTCGCTACAGTGGCAGATCGCCCACCGCTGCCTCCCAACCATGAACTGGCTAATCGATCACACAAACTTGGAACAAAAGGGAAAGGCTCTACCCTGGTGCCCGCGATGCCTGCAGGCGTTCCCCTCGAGGAAAAGGGCAGAAACCATTGAACATGTCTTCATGCAATGCCCGACTCCACAACTAACATGGCGCTGGTGGGATAGGATATGGAGAAAAATGGTTTCGGACCCGCCATGGCCGTGGTCATGGCGGGCCATCCTCACAGGGTTTTGGCCAGAGGCTCAGGGGGCACCTGCCTTTGTAGAAAACATGTTCAGACTGGGCAGGAGAGCGGTTCTATGGGGACTTCGGTGGCAAAGGTGCATCTTGGTAATGGAAGAAGTGAGAATAGAAGGCCCGAAACTAATTGACCAGATTCAACAGCAACTGAACATGGAAATTACGAGGAGATGGCACGTGCTCAAATCCCAGTTAGATGTTTTCAGAACAAACAGAGACATCAAACGCGCAATCTCCTCCTTTTCCAAAGACTGGTTAGGAGGAGAGAGAGGAGGATGGGTAGCAAGAGTTGAGTTGGGGGGGGACAAAGACGAGGTGCACCCAGAGGATCTAACGGAATGTAGGGACTACCGCCTCATCTTAAATGATTGGACAACAATAGAACCCACCTTCACGATGCGCCCCCCTTCGGACTTCTCTGATCCCTTCCCGCCACACCCACTTGCCCTAGCAGAGACAATAACAGACTGACATAACCCATGCACTGGGTGGGTGGAACCCTGCTCCAGGATCTCCTTTCTCCGTTCTTTTTTTTCCCTTTTCTTTCCCCTTTTCTTTTCCTTCTCTTCTCCTTCCCCCCCTTCCTTCTTCCTTCTTCTCTTGTTTTCTCTCCTTCCTTTGTCAAGCAAGCCAGGGTATCTCTGTAGAAGAAGACATCAGCGGCATAGTCTGGTAACAGACTTACTCTGTCGGCTTTTTTCTGCTTTTTTGCTTTCCCTGCTTTTTCTACTTTGTACTGCTTTCCTTTTTTTTGTTGTTTTCAGCTTCTTTCTGTTGTGGCTGTTTTTCCTTGCCTTGCCCGGCACACTTTCAATCATGTTCAGTACAAGCACAGTCTCCATCATCCTCTGCAGAGGACTACAACAAACGCCCTGAGGTTAGGTAAGGGGCTAGAGATAGGAGTGCCCCCCCATTACCCGTCCCGGCTGCATGAGTGGTTGGCAGAATTGATTAGATATGGGACGCTGGACCCGGTTTCCAGCAAAGGCGTCACGTCAAATGTGTGTACTTCAAAAAAAAGGGGGCTGGAAACAGATGTGAAGGGTTAGAGCTGCAAAGACAGGAAGGCAGGGCTAGCAGGGGAACAGAAAGGTCTCACTGGTGCCCCCCAGTGGCCCTGACTGGGCCCCAGCTACAGCTCTAGAAGGATAGGACGGGAAGCTGAAGGGATGCAGGACCCGGTTCCCAGCAGCTCTGCACAAGTGCTCACACTGCCCAGTCAATCCCCTGATCTCCAGGGCAATCAACCAGCAGAAACTCACCATCATCATCATCATCATCATCATCACTATATGAGGGACGCTGAGCCTGGTTCTCACCATTTTCCTTCAAAAAAAAAAAAAAAAGAAAGGACCGTAGGGTTGTTGCTTTTTTCCTTCTTTTTTTTTCACCCTATAACACCCTCCCGGAGGGCACAGTCTCAGATGTTCTCCAGATTCTGTATCCTGGCAGGTGCTTTCACGACCATAGTGTTGTTACTTTTTTTTNCGGGTAGTCCATGGCGAGCGCGGCCGAGAGCGTCGTCGCCAGGAGCTCGGGCTCTTCGTTGTAGGACGGCACGAAGACGTCGACGGTCGGGGCATTGGCGGGGGGGGGGGGGGGGGGCTTGCTTTTTTTTCGTTGTTTTTTTTTGGGCGGGGGGGCTTCTTTTTTTTCTTTTTGTTTTTTGGCCTGGCCACCGCCGAGATGTCCAGGCCACGCCCGTGGCTCGGCCGCGGCCGAGATGTCTAACCCATGCCCGTGGCTGCACCACACCCAAGATGTCGAGGCCATGCCCGTGGCTGGGCCGCGGCCGAGATGTCTAGTCCACGACCGTGGCTGGGACATGGTCGACGTGTCTAGGCCATGCCTGTGGCTGGGCCAAGGCCAAGATGTCTACGCCACACCTGTGGCTGGGCCGCGGCCAAGATGTCTAGGCCACGCCTCTGGCTGGGCCACGGCTGAAGATGTCTAGGCCACAGTTGAGATGTCTAGGCCTCACATGAAAAAAATAATAATAAAAAAGAATGATGGGCAATGGTCGAGAAAGCAGGTGGACACAGAATCTGGAGAAGGTGTGAGAATGCAGCGTCCTTGAGGGCATTATTGCCCCGCGGTCATCACGGCAGTGG